GTCTGCACTGTGGTTCTGGAGATGCCCATCAGCCCATCCCAACACCTTGGGATGAGGGTAGCACACCTTGGCCGTCTCACACTTATGCCAACAGAATTGTGTGACTCTTCCACATGGGTTCMCTTATACTCTAATTTAGCAGAGGAAAACAAGACAGAGAGAAGGGGTTCAGTAATGCTTGGGTTGCAGTTTAGCAGAAAGTTTGGTTCCACCAAGTGCCTGAATCCTTCAGGGAAGCCAAAGAGAAGGAACCTGATGTTTGCCAGGGATGGTGGGGAGACATTGCAGTGTGTTTGATTTATATCTTTATGTGACACAGAAATACTAAATGTGCCCTCTCCTGCACTTCAGGAATGTTGGATACATTGGCACAGCTTCCCTCAGTGGCTGGATGAAATAACCAAGGTAAWCCTGGGTAGGATTTGGGCTGAAGGCAGGTGAGAAACATTTCAGCAGATAAAAGCAAATGGGGGACACAGACACTCATGGAGAAGCTGAAATGCCACRTGATTTGCACATGGTTGGGTTCACCTGCTCTTGTCTGGTATCATTATTTATRTCTAATGCAGTGGTGCTTCCTTTCTCGGCCAAAGAGCCAACACATGCTAAAGTAACAAAAACTTTGTGTTTGTTGAATAATTGGCTAGAGAATAAGCAAAAGTGTAACCAAAAGACAAGAGGAAAAGGCAGTTAGCCTTTCAGGGTATTTTTATTCCAGTTATTTAAAGTTCTAATACAGCTTTCATTGCCTARCCAAAATTAAAGTTTATAGAAGATCTTAGAACTGTCCCTGTGTAGGATGTTCTGTACTATGCTGTCCTTGGTTATCTTTTTGGGCATTCAAGTTGTTTATTAGCTTCCAATTTGGGTAAAATTTTAAGTTTTTTTTTTTTTTTAAACTAGAATTTAATTTTCTTTAACTTTCTGGGAACCTTGTCTTCAGTTTCAATTGCTGTCATGTCATATTGCTGTTTCTTGCCTCAAGTGATTTTTTTGCAAGTTTGACATGTTCCTCTTGCCACATTTTTTTCAGTTTTACAGTACAGATGCGTGAGGAAAAAAGGCTGTGCAAATCATTTCCCTCCCTAAAGTACAGCTGAAATCTCTTCATTTTGGTAGGTGTAAGGGAGAGAAGAAAAAAGAAGGAAAAAAGTAAAATAAAAAGTAACCTTGTTTCAGTGGGAAGGGAAGACTTGAGTGGGAGGTGAGATCAGAAGGGAGACAATGATTTTGGGAGGTCTTTGAAGAATTTATGAAAGTGTCATCAAAAAGAGTCGTTTTAGCAGCATTATAAAAGTTTATCTTGATGCCTCATTTRTACCTAAAGGGCATGTGCTTCACCTCTCACTGCAACAGGAGCTTTATGCCAATCCTTCCCAGCCTTTCCAGGTGCCTTTCATGCCTCTGCAGTGTTTCCCAGTGCTCTGCATACCAAYAATTGTCTCGCAGCACTTCAGACAGCACCATGGACACAGCTAGGATCAGAGATGGGCAGGGTGTGCCAGTGTACATCAACCTGAACCTTTCCATGAGCTAAGATGGAGATGAGCACAGCGAGGAAAAATATTAGAAGCACTTTTAGATCCAAAAGCTCTGAAGTTATTTTCTTGGAAAAGAGAGGTTTTCATTCCGTGCTGGTTTGTATTTAATTCTGTGGGTGTGTTTGCTGTAGCCCCACACACAAAGGATGAGTGTCACACAGATGTGACAATGATGTGACTCCCTGGCTGTAGCTGGCAGCAGGGCAGTGGAACACACAGACTGCCCGCTCTGAAGGGCAGATATTCACAATTATATCGACCTGGGAGCAGCAATGTCACTTTAGGTGTGCAGGCAGGCAGCACTGAGGGCCAGCAGCTCCTGCTCTCCGTTGTTCAGCTCTCTGTGCAGATGTTGTCACTSTTCAGATCCCTCCAGTGTGTCCTGCCAGGGCTCTCAGTGTGGGTGACCTCGGTTTGTGTGGTTTGGGGTACAACTTGCAGGGTGCAAGGGATGAATTCAGGGTGGAAGGGAAGGTTGAGGTGACTGTCACACCCACTGCCGTCACATCCAAGGATTCACAAATGCATGTGGCAGATTGTTTCTAAAAGTCTCCTCTTGCCTCAACACAGGAATGTCTTTTCCACCTGTGAGTGCATTGGGTCAGGTTGTTCTCAGCCCTGTTAAAGACCTCCCATTTTACTTAAATAAGTATTTATTGAGGAACTTCCCCAATGKCTGCTGGCTGGGGCTCTGCCCTGGGTTCCACATCAGAGTTCCACTGATAATTTATTTCATTCATCAGTGACATAAACCTGCCTCCATGACCCTATTGCTCGGTTAAAGGGGATGGATGGGGTGACAGTGGAGTGTCCCTTCTCCTTCCCCGGGCACAGACTGCCTCCTTGTAGTTCCTGATTCCAAAAGGGATYTACAGCTGCAAA